TGGCAGACATCCTCCATTTGTATATAAAGTTAATTTTTAAATATTTTTAACTTAGTTTTTTTTATAACTTAGATTAAATAAACAACTTACATCCAGTGATTAAATTAGATAAACTACTTTTGTTCACTGCATTATACATTCTTACTCAAATAGTTGTGATATTACATGCTAGGAGCTAGAAATAGGAATGTAAAAAGAACACAGTCCTTGTCATCAAAGAGCCCAGATGCTAGTATGATTTATAAATACTGTGCATACAAAAGGACCCCTGGTGCTACAGTGGTTAAAGTGCTCAGCAGCTAACCTAAAAGTCAGCAGTTCAAACTCACCAGCCACTTTGTGCATCAAAGCTGTGACAGTCTTCTTCTGAAAAGTTTATAGCCTTGAAGACTCTATGGGGCAGTTCGACTCTATCTTACAAAATTGCTGTCAGAATTAGCACATGGTAACGGGTTTCTAAGGAGCTCTGGTAACATAGTGGTTACGAATCAGGCTGCTAACCTCAAGGTCTGCAGTTTGAAACTACCAGCTGTTCCATGGGAGAAAGAAGAGGCTTTCTGCTCCCGTAAAGATTTGCAGCCTCAGAAACCCTGTACAGGGTCACTATGAGTTGGAATCGACTCCATGGTACTTAACAACAACAACAACAGGTTGTTACAAGTACATATCTAAGTATATGTTCATGCACAGATTCTTCTCTCTGAAAATTACAACTGATTTTTTTTTTCTTGAAATATCAACACATTGTCTTAATTTTAAAGGTGAAACTGACATTTGAAAATGCATATGCTATGAAAAAGGAAGTTACCCAACAAAAACAGAAAAAGGCACAATTAAATACAAGCGATTTAGTCAAACTTCTATGGGAAGATGAGGTTGAAGACATCCAGCAGAATATTCTTAATACTCCTCATATCATTATGTACCTCACACTTCAGCTTGACTCGGAAACATCAAAGGAAGAGGTGAGTGCCTTCTCAGAAGTGCAAAAGAAATAGTAAGGACCTTACATGTGAATAATAAGCACTTTTGACTTAAGGAAAAAAACAAACATGAATTAATTTTGTTTAATTGCTATGCTTTAAAATTGCCCATATATGCACACATTGGAGTCCTGGTGTGGCACTATGGGTTAATATGCTGCACTGCAAGGTCAGTTTGTTAAATTCTAGAAACTTTTTATGGTTCAACATTGGTTTCATTATACACCTCCTCCTCATTTGTAGTGGTGGTGGTTATGTGCTGTGGAGTCGGCTCAACTCATAGCAACCTTGTACATGGTTTCCAAGGCTGTAAATATTTATGGGAGCAGAAAGCCTTGTCGTTCTCCCATGGAGCAGCTGGTATATTCGACTACTGATCTTGTTGTTAGCAGCCCAGCTCATAACCCACTACACTACCAGAGCTCCTTACTATCTCGTTATCTGACATTTCACATTTACCACGTTGAAACAAATTGTCAGGTGACACCTCCAATATTCCTCACCTAGATCTTTGACCAGGCCCAGAGCATGCTCCACAGGCTACCCTGAAAAATACCAGAGACCCCACTGACAACCGGGACACCCTCTCCAATTCATCTGCTATGTCTCAATCCAGCTCTAGAGTGTGCAGAGAAAAACAAGGTTGTGGGTGGACAGGGAGAGGCTGAATGAGAACGCAAAGATGCCAGGGAGGTCACTGGAGGGAGGCAGGAAGTGGGGACGTGGGTAAGGGTCAGTACAGGCATTCAGGGCAAGGGTGTTCAGAGTCAAGTAGGGTACCTCGTAGAACAGGCAGCAGGAGACGGTGGATGGAGGATGAGAAGGGTTCCCACCAAGGGTGGTGGCAGGAGGCAGTGGGGAATACCAAACCACTACCACCAATCCCTGTTGGTTCTTTACTGGTGGGTAAGACATGGTAAGTAAATAGGGCCCACCACCCACATGCATCTCAAGTTGCTTGGCAGTGAGCAACTGTGGGGTTGGGCACTGGCACCAAAAACAAGGTACG